AGCTCAGCAGTTTGAGACCCGAGTGCCACATGACCGAGTGAGCTCCCATCTCTGGCCTCAGCTCCTGCCAACCTAGCAGTTCGAAAGCAGGAAACTGCAAGTAGATAAATAGGTACCACTTTCATGGGAGGGTAACAGCATTCTGTGCGCCTCGGCATTTAGTCACGCCGGCCACATGACCACGGAGAAGCCTTCGGACAGCGCTGGCTCTTCGACTTGGAAATGGAGATGAGCACCGCACCCTAGAGTCGGATTCGACTAGCTGTTGAGCAAGGGAAACCTTTACCTTTACTTATAAGTGGTCCAGACACACACTCGCCAGAAGTGTTTCAGAGGAGCATCCCACATACCCAAGAACTGAACAGCCAGTGTGGTGTAGTGGTTAAGAGTGTCCATCCTAGTATCTGGAGGACTTCGAATCCCCACCTGTGCCATGAACGTTCGCTGGGTGACCTTGGGCCAGTTGCACACTCTTAGCTTAACCCACCTCACAGGGTTGTTGCGAGGATAAAATGGGGGAGAGGAGAAGGATGTCAGCCGTTCTGGGAGACAGGTGGGGCATCAATGAATCAAGCAAATAAACAAAGAGCAGGTGTTAAAACAGCTTTTAATTCTCCAGTAAGCTAGAGGCTTTTACAGAATAGCTCCACTACACAAAAGTTCACAGCCTTTTAAAGACCACAGGCTGGAAGCAACCAAGATGTTAAGTATTAAGGTTTTTAAAATATAAAGGTGCCAGCGTTTTGATTCTCAAGGGCACAAAGCACTTCACATGTTTTCAGTCCTTACAACAACCCTGTAAGGTAGGTTGGTCTCCCCAAATTGCTGATGGCGACAGGCTCTCTGCCTCGCTGGCTTATGTCACCATGTGACTTTACGAAGGAGGGAGGACAAATTGGGACCTTCCTCTTCATGGTTTTAGGCACCCCACATGTGTATATTGTTTTTTTTAAAGAAAACACTGACATATAAACAACATACAGGCACTGATTTATTTCATATATACATTCCTTTACACTTCAATGAATTGGCCACTGCAAACTTCAAACAAGTGCTGGCCGGGGGTGAATCAAAAGAATGCCAACCTCTCAAACACTATCTAAATGGGAAAACCCCTGTAAACAGTTCTACACAAAGAATCTGATAAAATAAAATCTCTCTTCCTCCCTGGCCATGGGCCATGTAAGGCACTGAAGCAGGAGACGGGGTTCTTTGCTTAAGAGAGTGTCATTGGGTTAGTTTCCACAAAGACAAGTTGCTATCCCTCATGACTGCTACAATCAACGCTTGTATCTGGCAGAAAACACGAACATCCATTGGCACAATCCACGGCAGCGTTGTTGGCTTTCCATGCCTTCAGCACAACTCTGTCAGAAGCATTTGTTATACAGTAGATGTGTTCCATACGAAAAGTTGCCCAAAGCAGTTTCCAATGGGATAAAAAGACATAAAAACCAGTAGCATGAAATCAGACTTTAACAAAGCAGCAAAACAGCAAACATTTAAAAAAGCACTGCAAGACTGCGTCGACCAAAGCAGTAAGTAAAACAAATTAAATGTCCAAACTGAGGTGAGTACACAATTAGCAGCATGCTTAGGCTTTTTGCCCGGTACCTAAGACCTAAGGTGCCGCCACTAAGAAGGCCTTGTTGGAAGGTACATGGAACAGGTCCTCAGATCCCATTCTTAACCAGCAGGCACATTGATATGAGAAAATACTCTGGACCTAGGCTGTTTAGCCCTCATGGCCATGTTTTAAAACTGCTGTGGCCTCCATTATTCAAAGTGATCCCCCTCAGTACAATTAAGTGCAGCAGGCTGCATTGACCTGCATTGTATGGTCACTATATGCCCTTGCAGGTAAGCAGAATAGCTGCTGCGGCCTTCTACCTCCAAATCTTCTTGCTACCTGGCTCTCGCCCACAAAGCTCCCTAGTCCTGCTTTATTACTGTTTCCAGTCCCCAGAGGGTGATGATTTGGGGTTAGTTATAACCTGTGTTCTGTCCCCGCTGCCACCACACACGCATTCCCTTGGATTTGAAAAGCCTTCAAGATGGTGGCAGTATTGACCACTTCCAAACCTGAGCCAGTTTTAGGAGGAGCTAAAGTTAATTATTTTGGAGGCCTGCCCAGAGTTACAGTGACTTGATTTGACCCCATTCTCAGTGTTAGCACCCGCTGTGGGACCTGCCCCCACCCCGCAAAATGCTTCCCTTGGGTTAAAACACTTTGTTGTTAACTGCTTCTGTTTTTCTCAGCAATCTACACTGGAAGTAGGTTTCACATCCATCTTTGCTGCCTCATGTTGCAGGCCTCTTGACTGGGACATCCGTCAGCCAGCCTCTCCAAGGGCATCCTTGCAAAAGTTACCTGGACACTGTTGTTGCTTTGCTGGCAGAACACAGAAAAGGCACTTGTGGTGGGTGATGCTGGGGTGAGCTAAACACCCTTTGGGATAAAAAAAGATATGTCTATCCATGTCAGAAAATGGCTGGTTTCTAATCTTTTAGCCCTTAAACACCGTCTCAGAGACACGTGCTGTTTCCACAGACGCAAAGGCCAGGCTCAAGAGCCCACCGACACCCATCCGAAATCATACCTGTTCTCCAAGGCACCCTTTTTAAGCAAGCTGGATGACACGCATGTCAGTGGCTTCCTAATGACAATGTAAAGCGGAAGCTTTTAACAAAGCAAGTAGCAAATGGCGATGAGAGATTCTGAACAATCGTTAGCTGTACAGGTGAGTTTCTGTATAGTCTTATCAGTTCATTAGGTCAGGATGGGAGGGGTGTCCTAGCTAAAAAAACCCCAACTTCCAAAGTTCTTAAGATACACTCAACATTCTGTCACAGTCTGGTGTGATCAAGACTCCAAAGCCAGAGCCAGCCTGACAAACAGGCTGGGGACGGTGAGTTTTCTGCCTCCGTCCCGGCGGGGTTCCCAAACCCACCCGCCCCATCTCCTTCCCACTAGGCAGAAGCAACAGCCGTTCATTCCCAAGTGGGAGCGATATTCCAGTGGCCCTGCCAAGGCTAAAGAAGAAAATTTAACGGAAGGATAGGGAGCCATTTGAACAACACAATACGGAGGGACATGTGAGGCATGGACGAGTTGTCCCTCAGAAGTTCCGTTTCCGGCAGGCAGACTCCTCACGTTTACGATTACATGCAGGATGAAATATCTGTAGGTTATTTCAAAATAACATCGCCTTCTAAAACACACCAGATTTTATGTATTGGCACTTTATATTGAATACATTCAAGAGCGGGCCTTGAAATTTGGTGAAACTTTTGGCCTCAATCTTCATTTTTCTTTTGTCCTGCCCTTTGTCCCTACGCTGTAATCTGCAGTGAAGTCCCTGCTCCACCCTAGTTCAGTCAACGCCTCCAAAAACGGGACTATACACAGGGTGTGTGTGTCAGAACAGCTTTCCCCACCAGCCCAAACAAATATATCTTCACAGAAAGACTCACCTGCAAGTGAGAATACTTGGACAGATGTACAGAGAGGCCAAAGTCAGAGCTGTGCCTTTTCTGTATCTCACTCCCCCAAAACGTATCAATAAACATGGAATTCTCCACTTCACTAAGCAGTTCTTCACTCTGGTGAGATTATTCTTTTTCTTCTAATTTGCAGAATGACAGAGGTCATGTAGAAGCTCCATTCCCACAACCGCTGGGAAACCTGGGTGGAGCATACACAGATTGGCTGCCATACCTTTTATAGCCTTAAGGACTAGAATCTTCTTTTCTAAATCAAATGCCCGGTACTCTCAAGACACTGAAATAAGCTTCTCTGCTTAGGCCAGGTAGTGTGAAAAAGGGAAGCAGAACCAGCCAACCCATCAAGGTCCAATAAAGTTGCAGAGGTGAGCGGCTTTACTCCATCTTCAAAGGCATTTTAAATACGACCCTCCAGTTTGGCTTCTCTTGGGGGCAGGGAGACTATCACAGTGGTATTTGTTTTGTTTGGGTTTTTTTTAACCCAGACAAGACGAACAATCAAACTGCAGTCAACACCTTGTTCACCTAAGACGGATTTATGCATTGTGCCATCTGCTACAACTCACCCATCTTGGACCCAATCCAGAGAGCTTTAAACCCCAAAGAAACTGGACTTCTGTTAGATGCAATTAAGTCCTGCCTGAAATCCACAGCCAAGTTCAAAATACCTAACTTTTCTTTCCTCTGGGGTCTCCCCTTCCCCAGTTTCAGCAAAACACCTCCATGTGTTTTCCTTTGGCAAAGTTATTTTTGTTTTAATGCAAAGCTAACTCTAAAAAAAAAAAGCCTTAAGGCACCCGATGGTTAAAAACATGACAAAACTGACAGACTTTTTGACTTTGGTCAGTAAAAGAAAAAGAAAAAAAGAACAGACCATGGTCAATCACTGACCAAAATCCAGAGCACGGAAATCCTTGTTTCCAGTATACCACAGATGAAGAGTTCCCCAACTGTTTGGGAACAAAAAATCTATTTAATGATCCTACGGTCAATTCCCCTTCTCCTAAGCTAAGTGACTCCAAACCGCTTCCACTTTGGGAGCCGGTTTCTACAGGCGATGCCATTCCACTTGCATAATGACTTGGCAGCTGAGGCCTGTGCAAATCACAGTAGCATCATTCTTGAGGCAAAGACGGAAATTGGACTGACAGGAGAAAACCTCAATCGCTTTCTTCTCTTGCCACAGACTGGAGACGAGGTTTTGCCCACTTAAATCCTTTCCTCCGGTAAGACCGAGATCTTGATGGATGTTGGAAGATGACTGGAAGACTGTTGTTTCTGGAGCAGCATCTCTTAATCGGGAGGCATAGACGGGTATCAGAGATGCACAGCTGCGAATAGGGTGGCAGTTCCTGGGCAGTGGGGCATAACTCCTAAGGGGGTATGCACCATGCAAGAGGTGTCACTCTCAAGAATGTAACGGTGGAAAAAGTCGTCTTGCCTTCCAGCCATCCCCCAGGTCAGGCTGGAGTAAAGAAAGAACATAGGGTCATCTGCAGCAGCACCACGAACTGTATGTCTGTTGGAGAGCACAGTGTCATTCGTCTGATACCAAAAAACAATCTACTGCATGGCATCTCTTTCCTAGAAGGAAGACCCACCCAGGCTTGGGAGGAAAAGATTCTCTGCAACCATGAAATGCCATCACTGGGGTGTAACCACTGTCAATCAGCATTCGATCTAATTCAGGTGGGTCGTCGTGTTGGTCTGAAGCGATAGGAGTTTGAGTCCAGTGGCACCTTTAAGACCAACACAGTTTAATTCTGGCTATGAGCTTCCATGTGCGTGTTCAGATGTTAGTTTAGAAGCAAGCAACAAACCCCCACAGAGTATGATAGTTGTAGCCACTGAATTTAAAAATTCTCTCTCAACATCTGGCTTGGTTCTCATAAAAGGTGTTGGAGAAAACTCATAGCTGTAAATGGCTGGGCTGACATTCTCAATTCATTACATCAGAGGGATTTAAATACAGGAAAAAGGGGGGGGGAACCCCTAGATCGTCAATATCCTTTTATGGCCAGTAGTTCAACTCAGTAATTAAGTAAAACTCTGCTAGGTCTTCACTGCAACCAATAACATGTGCATCCAGAACTTTTCTGAACAGGCTGTGAACTCCCAAATCTGAAACGCTAAAAAAGGCCCAGATTTCAGATCTATGCAATAACCAGGGGTGCTGGGGGTGTAGTTCTGCTATTAACATGCAGCTCTAAACAGAGCTGCTTTCTTTCTAAGCCCACTAACTCCAGTGGATTTAGAAGAGTGTAACTGTGACTCGGACAGCCCCACAAGTTTTCCAGAATAGACAACGCTCTCTCCAAAATCCTAGGGTACCCAAAACAACCAGCTTTTCCCCTGGCTCTCCTAAAACGTTTACTTCCACCGCCCACAACGCATCCTACGGATTGAGGTGCCACATGCGCCAGATTGCTCGGCTGCTGAAAAGCCAAATTTTAAATTTCTCCCATAATTCACATTCCAGGCATTCTCAGAGTAATAATTACCCCACACGATTAATGGCTGCATGGGGCAGCATTGCTGTATCGTTAACATCAGCAGAGACCATTTTCTTTTTGCGAACAGATGCACAAATGTGCATAATTCCACTGTAATGTCACTTTACAGACAAATTAAAACCAAAAAGCAGCACAAATACAGCGCTGTTTTATGCCCGGGGAAATGGAGGAACCCTGACATTGAAGGATGTAGCAGTTTACAGAATCTGGGTCCATGGCACTGAACGGGGGTCAGTATCGATCCGTGTAAAAGTATCCCATATTTTTTTTCTTCCTCTGCCAGCTGCCCAGGCTGTTTGGAAGCCTAACCAAAGAAACAAGAAGCCTTGCTGATATTCACACACTGGAGCCTCAAAAAACCATAACTAAACCAGAAATCTACAGGAGAGAAGCCAGAAGAAAAGTCTGCTTGTTCTTGAAGCAAAATTATTTTTATGATCCAATGCCAGAGCTGCCAGAACTACCAAAAAGAAGCCGTTACACTGACAGAGGCTTCGCAACAGATTTTTCAACAGCACAGCAATCCAAAGGGCAGATTGTGGCAGGGCGTGAGTGGGAAGACTAAGGGTGGAGAAAGGGCACAGAGAACGCAACTCCTGGGAAAGATGAGGCTGGATGGACCCTCTGTCTAGATGACCACCAAAACTGATCTTGACAGGACGGGATTTCCTTACCCCCCATTTGACAGCCCTAAGCATACCTGGGGAGGCCCAAAACTGCCTGGCCAAGGCCCCCAGAGACCCTCGGAAGAATCTGGAGGAGCAGAAAAGCCCAGAGGAAGCCTCAAAGCCATCCATCTGCTTATCATCAACAGCAAGGAAATCAAGCACACAAAAACGATTTCTCCAGCAGCCTTCTGCAGGAGTCAGCTTCTAGGAGGAAGGAGGCATTTTATACATTCTTCTTTCCACAGCAAGAAACAGAAAGTGCCGGCCCGCCACTTCTGAAGAAGTGTTTCCCTAATCTCTGTTCATCCCACCGATTTCTTTTTCTCTTTGCAATCCGAGGGACATGCAGAGGCGGACCCAGGACGGGGCCTGCTCCCTTCGGATTGTGGGCGGGTGGGGGGACTGCACGCAGACCTGAAGGCTACATCCTGGCCTGGCTTTCCACTGCATCTCTCTTTCTCTCAAAGTTTGGATTTGGGGCTGGACTGGAGCAGCAGCCTCATGTCCAACAGGGCCTTCTCCAAGTAGTGCGCCAGCCGAGCAGCGTTGGTTTCAGCACAGCTGTTGAAGGCCGAGATAGCAAAATTGATGTGCTCAGCCATGGGGTTATAGCAAACGCCGTAGCCGTCTGGGACAACCGGGCCAAAGCACATGACGCAGTCCGTCTTTGCAGGGACCTAGAGGGGGGAAAGAAAGGGAAAGAAACATACAAACCTTTGGTTTCAGGTGGGTTGTAGGGTTGTCATTCCTCATTTGGGAACGTAATTGAAAAGGAATACAGACACAAGAATCTAAGCTAATAGCCTAAGCTAAACGCTCTATGCTTTTTTAACAATAAATATTCAGATATCAAGTCTAACTGGGTTTTTTGTATTATGAAATTATAAAAATACAATAACATAAACCAAGATAATCCATGAAATTCCTATCTTGTGAATGGTTTACGTTATTGTATTTTTTTCCATTGTGTATGTATGAAACAATATGTATATTAGAATACTCATAAATATTTCATAATACAAAAACCCCACTTAGATTTGATATTTGAATATTTATTGTTTAAAAAGCATACAGAATTTAGCTTAGGCTATTAGATTAGATTCCCCAGTTGAGAGCGGGGGATCCCCTGGTATTTTGGGCTTCTGCCTGCCGGCAGGAGGAAACCCTACCCCATCACTAGAAATAACTGCAACGCACTGACGTCACATAGAAGTGATGTCAGCATGTCGGGACATTGCACAGTGACACTCTTGGTTTTGGGCAAAACTTTATGATTTGAGGCTGATTTTACCATAGAGTTTTGCCCAAAAACCAGAGTGTCACCGTGCGACATCCCCAACGTAGTGACGTCACATCCACGCAGGGCTCTTTTTGTAGAAAAAGCCCAGCAGGAACTCATTAGCATAATAGGCCACACCCAACAGCAAAACGTATTAGCATATTAGACCACACCCCTGACAGCACCGCTCATTAGCACATTAGGCCACACCCCCATGTTACCAGAAGTGTGGTCATCCAGCCACACCCACCTTTCCCTTCTTATTCTGTTTACCTTATTTGTTGTCAAAACCCAGGGCCTTCTTTGTAGCAGGAACACCTTTGCATGTTAGGCCACACACCCCTGATGTAGCCAATCCTAATGAGTTTCTGCTCATTGGGTGTGGCCTATTATGGTAATGAGTTCCTACTGGGCGTGGCCAACTCAGGAGCCAGCCGGAACTCCATTCCTGTGCGTTCCTGCCCCAAAATAGCCCTGCTTCCACGCGATGTCATCACGTCGTGGCACTCTACCCCACTCCTGGAAAGTTCTTTCCCACCCCCCGCCAGCATGGCATTAAGACCCGGCAACCCTATTGTGTTAGCAGAACAAAATCCAGGTCCACTAGGACCTTAAAGACCAACAAATAGGGTCTTTCCATGGCATAAGCTTTTGCAAGCCTGAGCTCACTTCTGTCAGATACAAACGAGAATGAAGATCCACCAGCCCTTATACTCAGGTCAGAATATAATCAGTATAAGGGCCGATGGATCTTCATTCTCATTTGTATCTGACGAAGTGAGCTTGGACTCACCGAAGTCTTTTCCTGGCAAATGTTGTTGGTATGGATTGAGTCGCATTTCACACGCTGCTCACAGACAGATTACTCTTGCTGGCTGCAGCTCTCCCGGGTCTGCCTTTCTGACATTCATTTTGTCAAAAGAATTTTGCTTCACCAGAGGGACTGAAACATCTCCCACCCCTGCTCCGGTGAAAGCTCTCCTTGACCCCCCCGTTGCTCTCCCACCTCCTTCCCCAGGTTTGGTTCCACCCCCACGTTTCAAAACATTGCTTCACCACCCTGTTGCTTTGACGACGACAGGAAGTGGAACACAAGAGTTCGCCAGAGGTCCCGAACTCGGGGCCCAAGTGCTCTTGCCATGCGGCCATCCTGCCAGAGACTCACTGAGTCTGTGAAGCCCCCCCCCCCAGCCCTCCATGCCTGCCCAAAAGGCAGAGCCATGGCTCACCTGGCTGGTGGAGAGGTTGAAGTGCATGGCGACCGCATAGGCCGTGTCCATGAAGAGTTCGGGCATGCTCACGAGGTCCTCGATGGCCTGGAGCTTCAAGCCCAGCAAGTGGCGGTCGATTGCGTTGCCGTTAATCGCCTGAAGGGATGAGAGGCGGAGTTTAAAAAAACCCCAAAAGCACAGCTGGGGTTGAGAGAGGAACAAGATGCTTTTCAAAGCCCTTCACAGTCTGGGACCCTCACGCCTACTACGGAACTGCCTCACCCGCAGTGCCGGATTTACGCATAAGCTAAATAAGCTACAGCTTAGGGCCTCGCAATCTGCTGGAGCCTTATTCGTCATTTTAAAACCCTTTAATTGTGTAATTATTTCTGTGATTTTTGTAAACACATCCTTTATTACTTTTTAAATAAAAATTAAAAGACAATATATTTTCAAATATTAAAAAGGCGTATATATTTTAAATTTTTCTGAGACCAGCTGATGTAATTTAAAACAGTAGGGGGCCTCTGGGTTGTGTATAGCTTAGGGCCTCAGCAAGTCTAAATCCGGCCCTGCTCACCCGTTACAATCCCCCCGCACTCCCCTCAATTATTGTCTAGGGGCCTCTTGCAGGTGCCCGGCCCCAGAATGGCTCGATTAGCTGTCACCAGGGGAAGAGCCTTCTCAGTTGTGGCCCCTACCCCGTGGAAGGCACTCTCGGAGGACACCCGTGCCCTGCCAGACCTGTTTAGTTTCCACAAGGCATGCAAGGCTGAAGTGTTTAGGTTGGCCTTTGGAGGGTAACCATATGTTTGGGCTGTTTTAATAGTGGTATGGTGATAGCCACCTATTTGAATATTTTAATGCTAATATTTCATATTTGTTATTTGTTTCATGTTGTTTTTACCTTATTGGTTTTAATGTTGTAAGCCGCCACAAGACCCTTCGGGTAAGTGGTGGCTTTTAATTTTAAAAAAATAATAATGTTGGCACAAAGCCTCAACTGCCCCTGAAGTCTTGTGTGCATGCTTGCAAAGTCACGCATGTGGACACCACGTGTCCGTGCTTCGCTGCTCTCTCATTCCCCCATAACCACCTCTCCAGACAGGAAAATACTGTAGGATCGGTTTCCATCGCTGTGCTACCCCATAGCAATTACACAACCAGATTCACTGTAAAATTCGACTTTCTGCCCCTAGATCACCTGGGCCACCCGCCCCTTGTGTGCCTAGTGGCCTGAGTGAGGATTTGAACCCAGGTCGATCTGGTCCTAGAGTGACATTAACTAGTACTCCATGTGGGACCAACCAGACCCAGATCTGCTTATATTCTGTAGCATCATTATATTCTGTGCAAGCCAATCATATTCTGGGACCCTGAGGCCTTTTAAAGAGAAAGCCGGTTTGGTCTGGGGAGGAAGGTCAGGAACATCTTTTGGGGCCCGCTGAATGGGGTCTGGGCTGAGCGCCTGCTCCTCCTCTGTTGCAGACATTTAAGCCTCGGCATGGTCAGGGATGCCAGCCTCACTCCCACGCCGCCGGAGGGCACCGACTCAAGAGCTCTTGGCCCTTCATGAGCCAGCCCGCCAGGTCCAGGCTAAGCCTGGGAGTCGGAGTCATGCTGGATATTTTTTCTTCTTGGCCTAAATTACATAAATGACTGTTTCTTCTGTAAGCTGCGTAGAGTCCCCCCCCCCCCCCCCCCCCCAGGAGAGAGAAGCAGGTTGGGAAAAGCAGAAAGAAGGAATCAGTAACGTGTACCTGTGTGTGTGGGAGTGAGGTGAGGGGGCCTCAGACAGGAAAAGTCGTGGCAGGGTGGGGCCGCCAGGTCTCCTGGGGGGGCGGGGGTTTGCCCGCTAAAAGGGCCCCCAGCCCAGATCCAGATCCGCCCCCAAAGTGCCCGGATCCGGCCAATGTGCCCGGCGCAATGACGTCACCCGGAGATGATGTCATTGTGCTGGGCATGTCACTGGGGAACGCTCTAGCATTCGGCTTGAAAACTCTATGGTACCATAGTTTTCAAGCTGAATGCTAGAGCGTCTACTGGCAGCGCGCCTAGCATGATCACGTCACTTCTGGGTGACGTCATCGTGGCACACGCACGCAAGGGACCCACTCCCCCCCTGCCGAAAAAGGTAAGGGAAAGAACTGCAGAGGACAGAGAATTTTTGGAATGTTCTCGCTTCTCCAGACACTGTAACCCTGGGATAAGAAATCTGCAGTTTCTGGCTCTTTCCAATCTAAGCACAGAAAGCTCCGGAAAAATGCTTCGCTGCAAGAAAGGGATAAGGAGTCTAGCCACTCACCAGATCGGTATACGCTCGATGGGCTTGGGTCGCCCTCCTCAACAGTTCCGCCTTCTCCTGGTCCTAAGGAGATCAAACAGCACAGCTGGTGACGCCCACCCTCCATTTGGATAGTCAGTCGGCATGACAGAGAGTTCAGCTCCTGCACTTGTCTACACTGACAGTTGCCACCAATGCTCCCTCTAAGCGGTGGAGTCTTGTTTGGTGTATTGGTTAAGTGCATGGACTCTAATCTGGGAGAACTGGGTTTGATTCCCCCCCTCCTCCACATGCAGCTGCTGGTGTGACCTTGGGTCAGTTACAAGTTCTTCCAGAGCTGTTCTCTCAAGGACAGTTCTTGAGAGAGCTCTTTCAGCCCCACCGACCTCACAGGGTGTCTGTTGTGGGGAGGGGAGGGGAAAGGAGTTTGTAAGCCACTCTGAGACACCTTTGGGTAGTGAAGGGCGGGGTACAAATCCAATCTCCTCTTCTTCTTCTTTTACCTCACAGGGTGTCTGTGGTGGGGAGGGGAGGGGAAAGGAGGTTGTAAGCCGCTCTGAGACACCTTTGAGTAGTGAAGGGCGGGGTATGAATCCAATCTCTTCTTCTCTCTTCTTCTTCTTGTGAGCAAAAATTCTGCTTGGTGAGCTACTGGCACTAAAGTTGTGAGTGAGCAATTTGGGAACACAGGTTTCCACATACGGCTATCTCTTGTACAATTTATATAAGGGTCCCCAACCTTTTTGAGCCTGTGGGCGCCTTGAGGATTCTGACATACCGTGGTAGACACAACCACAAAATGGCTGCCACACACATCAACGGAGCCCAAGGGCAAGGGGAAAAGAAAAGAAGAGTAATGGAAGAATACACTGGGGAAGAGGAGTGAGGGGATAAAATAAACACTGTGGTGGCCGCTGCCCCTCACTCCTCTTCCCCAGTGTATTCTTCCATTACTCTTCTTTTCTTTTCCCCTTGCCCTTGGCCTCCGTTGGTGTGTGTGACAGCCATTTTGTGGTTTCAATCTTCACAGCCGATTGGATCTTTAGCGGCCAATCAGGCACCCTGCTAGAGCCCCACCCCCTTTCTAAAAACACTTGGTGGGCGCCAAGAAAGGTGTTGGCGCGTATTGCAAAAATGTTTTTTCCCACCTATTTCACGCAACTCCAGACACCTTACAATTTAAAAAAACCACAGACACCTTAACAAGAACGAATAATGATTTCCACCAAAAAAACATGGCCAGAATGCATGACTGAACATATTTATTTTTCATCACTCTTCCTGATGTGAGAAGAGATGTGAGCTGGAAGTTGCTTGAAAAGGGACTCTCTTCTCCCCCTGACCCCAAAGGTCAGGCAGGTTTTGGAAACAATATAAAAACCGACCGCATCTCTTTAGCTCCAAGATAGAAGTGGGATGAATGTCCACATCACAAAACACAAAGATACCTTTTCCGAGCCAGCTTCAACCATCTGCATAAAACCACTCTCTGGGCGATTCTGCATCTGGCCTTCGCTCCACGTTTTCTCAGCACTGGGCCATTCTGCACTGGCTTTCCCCTCCGCTGTTTTACCAAGCCCACCTTGGAACAGAAATTCCCCTCTGCACTGCATGCCGCTTTCACTTCCTTTTTTTGATCGTTGGATTTTATGGCACCAGGGCTATTTTTGGGCAGGAACACACAGCTCCCGAGTTGGCCACGCCCAGCAGGAACTCATTAGCATAACAGGCCACACCCCACAGCAGAAACTCATTAGGATTGGCTACAATTAGGGGTGTGTGGCCTAATATGCAAAGGAGTTCCTGCTACAAAAAAAGGCCCTGGGTTTTGACAACAAACAAGGTAAACAGAATAACAAGCAAAAGGTGGGTGTGGCTGGATGACCACACTTCTGGTAACATGGGGGTGCGGCCTAATGTGCTAATGAGCTGTGCTGTCGGGGGGTGGCCTAATATGCTAATGAGTTTATGGTGTTGGGTGTGGCCTATTATGCTAATGAGTTCCTGCTGGGCTTTTTCTCCAAAAAGAGCCCTGTATGGTACCTTCTACATAGATGATGACCATTCAGGGGTGACTTTGCAGTCAGTATGGCGTTGCCCCCTGGGGGTATTTGAATGTGGTTTTGAGCTGCAGCTCAAAACCACATTCAAATACCCCCAGGGGGCAACGCCATACTGACTGCAACGTCACCTCTGAATGATCATCAATCTATGCAGGAAGGTACGATAAAACCCAATCATCAAAGAAAATGAAAGCGGCATGCAGTGCAGAGGGGAATTTCTGTTCCAAGGTGGGCTTGGTAAAACAAGGGAGGGAAAAGCCGGTGCAGGATTGCCCTCAGTCTCTAGCCCACAGGCATGGAAAGGCAGCTTGCTTGGTGCACCACCTGAAAAGCTGGCTTCTGCCTCACTTCAGAGGAAAGCTGGAGAGGCTTGCCAGCAAAGCTGTACTGAAAGGTTGGGCTACACGTCGCCCGCTGCCCATGAAAAAAAGAAACGAGCCAGGCTGCCAACTGCAAGCAGCTCAAGATGCTCCCTCTGGGCAACGGGCAGCAGAAGAAAGCTCAGACGCATCTCCCTCGACATCACACGAAGAAGGAAGGAGCCCCTGAAAGCCGGTCTCTCCTCCTCTCCACCTGCTCCATCTTTCCTCGCAAATGAAGAACAGGGAAGATGAACCGGGTGAGAAAATCCATTGGGGGGGGGGGACTTACCAACCCCGAGTTCCATTCCCCTCCCTCCTTCCCAGTGTGCCATCTTAAAAGCCACCCACTCGGAACAGACCAAAGGTCTACCCCAGTCCAGCATCCTGTTTCCCACAGTGGCCAACCAAAGGTCCCAGAAGGGGGGTCTCCAACTTTCTGAGCCTGTGGGCTCCCTTGGAATTCTGACACAGGGCGGGGGGCACAACCACAAAATGGCTACCGCAGGAGGCAAAGCCAGGCACAAGGAGCGAGGTTACCTTTAACTCTAACGGTACCTCGTCAACATTTTGGGCAGAAGCTCTGTTTAACAGGATGCCCTTTCTATCTATCTGCACAGCCCACCAGAAGCCCTGCCGGGCAAAAGCCCCATATAGGGCCCCCCCCCCACTTTCTGAAAGCATTTGGCGAGTGCCAGGAAAGGTGTTGGCAGGCACCACAGTGCCCACAGGCACAACATTGGGAATCCCTGCCCCAGAAGGTCCATAAGCAAGGGCACAAAGGCCAAAGCCTATCCTGCACCAGGTACCTCTGGCATTTACACGCCAGACCATGCACGCTGCACCCAGCAATCTTCATGGAATGCAGCCCAACTCCCAGAAACCAAAGGGACCTTTTAGCTAAAGTGGTTTTGTGGAGGCAGAGATTGCAAGAAATACTCGTCTGCCTGGCACCAGCCTTCCCCCTCTCCCCTCCCCTTTGCTGAGGTCAGCCTAAGAGCAGGCACGGCACTGGGACCACAAGAATATGTTCAGGAGAGGGAGGGACGGAGGGTTCAAACCTTGCTTGTTATTCCCGTTAAGTGTGGATTTATGGGGATAACAGTACTGGGACACTGTAAGAGTCCAACAAAATAATGCATATGAAGCACTTAAAACTCTGAAAGAGCTGGACAAATGCTGAGGATCCACTTATCCAGAGACCACCTCTCCCCAGCAGCTAATGAACTTTTTAGGGATTAATGGGGTAATGGACACTCAGCTGCCCCCAGCCCCGTGTTTGGAAGGGAGTTTTCCCAAGAGCAGGGAGCCTTCAAAGAGCCTTCTTGCTGAAAGTTGTAGGAGACCACTGTTTGCTTGCTGGGGACACCGTTGTTCAGGGGTCATTTTGTAGAAAAAGAGGTGCAGGAGCTCATTTGCACAACTCATTTGCATATGCCACACCCCCTGACAAAGTGCAGACATGTTTAAAATGCCTTTCTTTTCCTTCCCCATTTGGGGAAGGGAAAGAAAGGCATTTAAATCCCCCTCCCATTTCCCCGAGTTTCTCCACAAAAGCGGAGAGGCTCAGGGAAAAAGGAGGGCATATCTGCCCGCCTCCCCTTCCCCTCCCCAGCCAACCTGCTGCGGTGGGCTGGATGGAGAAGGGCAGGGAAGGGCAGGCAGGCACATGCCTCGGTTCCCTGCCTGGTCTTCTCCAGATGCCCCATGGCTGTGTGGGCGGGCCAGGAAAGGTGGCGGGGGGCCACCCCATCCCTGGGCTCTTTATTGTCAGAGCACCGTTCCGGTGCGCTCCGGCAGGAAATGACCCGTCGTTGTTGCTATCTTCCAACAGCTTAACCTGATCTCTAATAAGCTCGACCCACTCAGGGAAGGATCTCAATGCCTTTAAGCAGAAGAGATTAAGTGGCTGTGTGGGCGGGCCAGGAAAGGTGGCGGGGGGCCACCCCATCCCTGGGCTCTTTATTGTCAGAGCACCGTTCCGGTGCGCTCCGGCAGGAAATGACCCGTCGTTGTTGCTATCTTCTAACAGCTTAACCTTATCTCTAATAAGCTCGACCCACTCAGGCAAGGATCTCAATGCCTTTAAGCAGAAGAAGAAGGAGATTAACGTGAGAAAGTCTCACTAGTTGGTTGAGACATCCGGTACCTGCTTGCCAGAATCGTCCATAGCTGCCACAAACGCAGCGGAGTCTATGGAGGCAGAACGGATCGTGTCTGTCCGACCCAGGCGGAACATCCGGAGAGAGGCACTTTCGTAAGTGGCACAGACCTCCCCATACATCCTAAAAGGAAGACAAAAGCAACAGCTCAGAGTGCATATGAACTGGTACTGCAAAGAAACTGACAGAGAGAATAATCTATGCAGACATGCAAAAGAGAGGGCCTCTTCACACAGTACACAGTTCTTTTTCACAGGGTACACAGTGTTCAACACTGGAACAGTCTACCTCGTGCGATGGTAGATTCTTCCTCATTGGAGATTTTTAAGTGCTAATTGGATACCTGCTTCTTGCAGATATTATAGCTGCAGTTCCTGCATCAGCAGAAGGTTGGACTAGATGACTCTGGTGGTACCTTCTGACTCTGAGATTAAACAAACAAATAAAACTTGGGAACTCACTGCCAAAGGGTGTGAAGATGGCTACTGGCTTAGGAGGCTTTAAAAGGGGATCAGGCAAGTTCATGGAGGAGACGTCCATCAGTGGCTATTTGCCTGCATGGCTAAAGGGAACCTCTCTACGAAGAGAAGTATGCCTCAATGTCAGTCGCTATAGAGGCTACATCAAGGGGAGGCCATGGCCTCAATGCCACTGCTATGGTGTATACTCCTCCACCAAGGAGCTCAGGGCAGCAGATTTTCTTCTCCCCTCTTTATTCTCACAATAACCTCATAAGGTAGGTTAGGCTGAGAGATGGTGACTGGATGGTCAACCAATTAAGCAAGGCGGCTAAGTGGGGAATCTGAGCCAAGAACTTCCTAGCAGCAGCAGCAGCAACAGAAGAAGAAGAAATTGGATTTATACCCCGCCCTTCACTACCCAAAGGAGTCTCAGAGCGATTTACAATCCCTTTCCCTCCCCCTCCCCACAACAGACACCCTGTGAGCTCTTTCCAGAACTGTCCTTGAGAGAACAGCTCTGAGAGAACTTATGACTGACCCAAGGTCACACCAGCAGCTGCACGTGGAGGAGTGGGGGAATCAAACCCGGTTCTCCCAGATCAGAGTCTGCGCTCCTAACCACTACACTAAACTGACTACACCACATGAAGTATTACATATTGTTAGGTAGTCTCAGATGGGTACCTCTGCTGGTCTGTAGTAAAAGAGCAGATTTCGAGCAGCACCTTAAAATCCAGTGTTTCCAGGGTGTAAGCTTTCAAGTATCAAAGCTCCCGTTTCCGGTCTTGGCGTTCTGATGGCGGCCGCGGTCCTTGAGAGCTCCTGAGGACGCGGACCATGAACTCATGGATGGGAGGGGGCGCGATCGTCTGTGCTCCCCAGGAGCTCTGCGAATGGGCTCCTAGCCATGGGGATTGAAGTTCGCCTCTCCCCCCGGCAGGCAGCCGGTGGATCGAGGCATTCTGGTGCCCTGATGGTCCCCCCACAGAGTTCCCAAATGGGACAAATAGAAGCACACCGGAGCAAGCGCTTGGTGAGCTAGCGAAATGGGACAAAGAGCAGCACACTGGAACAAGCGCTTGATGATCTAGCAAAATTTATTGAGAACGATCCTATCATGAAACTAAGTGAAAACACCTAAAAACTAGCCGAAAGCCTCCCCTTGGGAAGTGGGGGGGGGGACTCTCCCTCGATAAGAAAACAAATGAACTTTGAGCATTAGAAGAAAGGGGAGGGCGGTCTATAAAAATAAGCTGGCTGAAATAAAAGGACATTTAAGTACCTACCAGACCTTTCCAGAGATTCCAGAGCCTTTGATAACTTTTTTTTGAAAAGTAAACAATTTCAAACATGGCGCCGAAGAAGGAGGAGAAGGACAAGTGATCGAAACTGAAGCCTCTTGCCGGAAGTGCCAGCCCAGCGAGTTCTGTCCCTAGACAGGACACAACTGCAGACCTTCAAAGAATGCTGACGGAGGTGCTGCACCCTCTGCTGGAACAAGTTACAGCACTGCATCAAAAGCTAGATATGCAACAAACTCAACTCAATGAGACTGTTAAAAAAACAGATAGAACGGAGCAACAGATGAAAGAAGTGGATGCCAACACAAAGCAGCTTAAAAAACAACTGCAGGTGATGGAGAAAAAGAGACAAAACCGGCGAGTCTCAATTATTACAGCTGCAAATGGAAAGAGCAAGCTATGTCCTGAGATTTCAAGGAGTTCCTCGAGAGAAAGGAGAAGAATTAAAGCAGGTGATGTGTGATGCTATTGCCCTGGTGGCAGATATAAAAGCGGAGATATTACAAAGCGAAATAGATATGATCTATAGGTCGTATTCTGAATTTACAAGAAAAAATAATCTGCCCAGGGAAGTGATGGTGAGATTCTCCAGAAGACAAGTGAGAGATCAAATTCTCAAAGCTACAAGTGGAACGACTTTGAAGATTAAGGACAAAGAAATTAAAATCTTAAAAGACATTCCGTTTGAAATAAGAAAGAAAGAAATATACAGACTTGGTATTATTTTTACAGAAGAACAACGTCTCCTACAGACGGAATGTGCCGGAAGAAATAATCTTCAAATTCAAGGATAAGAAAGAAAAAATTGACTCTGTTGAAAAGGCTTTGGAGTTTTTACAGCAACAAAATCAACCAGCAGGAGAAGATAAAAAGAAAGATGACAGCACCAAGGAAAGTGACGAAGAGGAAGCAGTGGCATCTTCTGACGAAGGCTCAGATTTGGAACTTGGGGCGGCAGCCCCAAAAACAAGCTATCAGTTGAGAAAGAAAAAGGATAGATATTGAGTTGTCATTGTGTCTGGAATTATGAAAAATGATTAATAACCATTTCTTGAATTGCTTTTTATTTAGGAAGATGCGCAGGAGTTATAGCTTACAGCTTTTGTATGAAGAACATGGTTGACCACATCCAATGAACTCTAAGTGAACTTTAAGCAAGAAGCTAATTTTACAAACATTATGCATGATCACCATCTCTTGGGTTTTTAGTGGGTTTTCTTTACTTTCTCCCATAGTTTGTAGACCCCTTCCTAAATTTCGTTGTAGTTTTTAGAAAACGCAAATTAAAAAAGCCCCTACGGGCCCCCGAAAAAGAATCAAAGCTCCCTTCGTCAGGTATCAAATGAAGGGCACCAAGACTCTCAAAAGCTTATACTTCGGGAACTTTGTTGGTCTGCAAGAGGCTACTAGACTCAAATGTTTCAGGCAGACTTCTGGTCTCATCACAGACTCCCTAGGGGCATGGAAAGACCCTCCAGATATGAGCAAAAGCAGCTTTTCCAAAAAGCTGTCTGCATAACAAACATCCCCCAGCTGAAAAGTTCTTCACGTTTATTGGACATCCCCCCAAAACACAGAGCTTTCACCCTTTTAGAAAAATGTCTTTCTTGGCAGGGACTCCTAGGCGGATATAGAAATCCTTCGAGACGCCTGATTCTCTCACTGGCATTGCCCTCTCAAGACGGACCATGCAGGCCAAGGCTTTGCCAAGAACTCACACGCTGCTCAGGGAGGAAAGGTGGCACTCGGTTATGCCACTGAGCAATGACATGGGCACCCCCACAGACCGACAAGGGTATGTACAAGCACCACCACAAGATGGCTGGGAATTCAATCGTGCTGCCCTTTAAATCAGGGGTGTCGAACTCATTTGTTATGAGGGCCGGATCTGACATAAATGAGACCTGTTGGGACGGGCCACATGTGTCATGAAATGTAATGCCAGGTAGCGGAGAGATAAACTTTAGAAAGGACACAAACACAAAGGGTTTTTTTAAAACTTAAAATAAAAACATGCTTAAAACGTTAGCACTCTTGCAATATTTTGTTTCTTTAGCAGTGTCTGATAACTGACACCTCTCGCCCTGAATTATTACATCAAAATGTCTGTGCTGTTGCAATCTTGAGTATGCTGTTCAGGTGTGTCTCTGTAAGCTGCAAACCTACGATGACACAGCAGCAGCAGCAGAACTGGAAGAAGCAGCAGAAGACAGCCAGTTCCACTGTGGGCCTGAGAGAAGCCCTCCGGGGGGGCTGATCTGGCCCCTGGGCCACATGTTTGACAACCCTGCTTTAGATGCTTCCTCAGAGAGAAATTTCTTTGAGGCTTACTCAGCAGAACCACTGGCCTAATGGATTTGCCACTTACTATCAGCTCTGGACAAAAGTTCGCCTTTCAGGGCTGCCCTTTCTGGTGGAGGGAAAAAAATCACAGAGACGCAGGCACGACCTTCTGCCATTTCTTTCTCTTTTTTTGTAAGCGTGTGTGTGTGTGTGTGTGTGTTTATGTATGTGTGTGTGCCTGGAAGTCATGGTTGACCTCTGGTGACCCCTAGTGGGGCTTGGACATTCCAGAGAGGTGGTTTGCTATTGCCTGCCTCTGCATCCCAGCCCTGGTACTTCTTGGAGGTCTCCCATCCAAGTCCGCGCCAGGGTCGGCCCTGCTTAGCTTCTGAGATCTGACAAGATTGGGCTTGCCTGGGCTATCCAGGTCAGGGTAACCTTCTGCCATTTCTTGAAGAAGCGATCACCTAATTCTGTGCAGTACAAAACGTATGAGCTGCGATTAGGTGGTTTTGAGAACATCTACAAACTGTCTCCTTTGCATTTACTTGTAGTGACCCTGTGGCGTTCTGCAAACAAATCTAGCCTAAATTAATACCACTCTCACTTTTCCCCCCAGCATGCAGGGGTGGGGACAGAAGCTCCCTCCGTTGTTGCCCCTCGAGGAGCAGAAGCTTGTGAGTGTGTGGAACAAGCAGAATGAAAGTGGGGAAGCCCTCCTTCCCACAGAAGGGGCTCCCCCAGAGGCACGTGATGGCCTGGCCTTCAGAGCAAGTGTGAAGGGTAACTTCACCAGGATGGCCTCTGCCACTGGCACAGAAGTGTGACTTTTCTCACACCTTTACTATTGCTCCTACCGTTTACCAGTGCATTTCCCATGAAACGCAGGCTGGATTTGTGGAACTCACTGCCACAGTGTGTATTAAAAGAGGACTGAAAAAGAACTGAGTGTGAAAGAACTGTGGAGAAGATTAGGATTAAGGCCTAACTTTTATGGTGGTACTGTTACTGCAGGGTAAGGTGGGAGGGGAGAACAAATATTTTCACCTTGGTAAACATTGGGTTGCTTTAATCCTACTGTTTCTCCTGACACCAGCATCAGTGGCCAGGTGGGGAGAGAAGAGAAATGTTGTAGGAAGAACCCCTATGCCCTGCTGCTGGCCCTCCAGAGGAACTGGTTGGCCAGTGTGTGAGACAGGATGCTGGACCAGATGGACCCCTGGTTTCAGTCAGCAGGGCTCTTCTTGTGTTCATTCATGAACAACAGTTATGGCTGTGGTTCTCCACACAGAGAGTGCAGGACCAGGACGCTAGGAGTAGATGAACAAAAGACAGGAACCAAAATAGACAAGTAGGTTTAATCTCTGATATTGGTTGTAAACTAGGGCTAGTAACGAGGGTTAGTGGAAACCGTGATCTGGCACAATGTCAGAATGGAGTCCATCTGTTGCGACAACTTGAGAAATTGCTGTCAGAACAATAATCCTACTGTTGATGTTCTCAGGCTTGGGAGAAGCCATGTGCCCTGCCCACTTGCCTAAAACTTACCTGTAATACGCCAGCTGCAGAGCAACCTGGATAAAAGCATCTGGACTGATCTTCTCTGACTTGGGGAAATTCTTCCCAAAGTGGTGGAAGACGAGCACTTTGATATCCAACTCTTGCACCATGCTGCAAAGGGACAAAGAGTCATGAACACATGGAATTCACTGCCATGGTGGTGGCTACAGGCACAGACAGCGTCAAGAGGGGTTTGGATAAACAGATGGAGCAGAGGTCCATCAGTTGCTATTAGCCAAAAGGTATAGATGGAACACTATGTCTGGGGCAGTGTTCTTGGGGCTTGGGGGGGTGTATAGAAATATTGTTTCTAAATTCTCATGCCTTCTTCCTGTGATGACATTCTGTGTGTCTTTTTCCTGTTGCAGGCCAGATGGCCTAGTATGATTTTTGTCACTTGACCAGATGGCTGAACCACCAAATAGCCATGCCATATAATCATGCCAGATACCCACATTCCTTAACACCTCCCTGCTGAGGGCTACACTTGAATGGCCATGTATGGCCTACATGGGCCATGTCACGTACACAATGGAGAAAGCTGGAAGTTGGATCACCTGACTGCAGGCAGGGCCTCTAACTTCTTAGCCAATCCCCACACACCTGATGTTGGGAGCTATGGCAACCAGAAATTGGGCACACACCCCTGCCACTCTGGATTGGCTGATGGCCACAGCTGATGGTGACTGGCATGGGGGTATAACTCCGTGGTTCTTTAGGGAAGAGCTCTCTTGCTCCTGGGATCCTGACTTTTGAAACAAAGAGTTTCTTTGTGAACTGATTGCCGGTAGCCAATCTTCTGTTACTGTGGATCTGTATCTCTGAGCAGCCCTGGACTATCTACCTGCACAAGATGGGATTTCTCTTCAAAATCCCTTGGTGCCAACCTGTACTGTTATGCAATGGACACTCTTGGACTATCTGATGCTACACTTAACTCGGTAACTATAATTATTATTAATGTGCAGTAAGAGCAAATAGCCATAGGTTGTTATTATTTTTCTATCCTCTATTAGTCTCTTGTTATGCTTTGCACTGAATAAAGATCATTCATATTTGTAATTGTCTCTGATGCGGTAATTGAATTCCAGGGCTAAATCTTGTGTCTAAGCGCTGAACACAGAGCTACTACTGTGAGAGTAATTGTGTGCACCTCTGAGTTAGAGTTGCTGATGTGTTAAGTCCCAGATACCAGCTAAGAGATTGAATCTCTGCTCTTAGGCTGGGTGGGGACCCCTTTGAAGAGATTCTGGTGGCAAACTGTTGTGAATCCTCGAGAGAGTACAGACTGTCTCGTGGATTTTGTTTAATGTGCTGAAATATAGGGTTCCCTCTCACCCCTGGACTGGGCTGAGTGGGTTTTAATCCTGTACAGGGGGAAACAGTGAGAGGGATTCTGGAGTTCTGGCCCTGCTGGTGGGCCTCCAGTTGGCACCTGGGTTTTGGCCACTGTGTGACACGGAGCGTTGGACAGGATGGCCCACTGGCCTGATCCAACATGGATTCTCTTTTGTTCTAAGAGAAAGAACTGGGCTTGGGAGGCTGCTGATGCACAACAGAGTTGGACGAGTAACTAGCCATTCATCTCCTTGTTCGGATATTCCGTCCAACACAAGGCACTAACTTATTTCACTGGCTTATTTCAGAAAGAGATGTACTAGTTCCGCCAGGCCTTTGGTTTTGCTGTTCATGTTATTGTTAATTAGTTCGATTTATTTTTTTATCAGATATACAGTCGTTGCAATTGTTTCAGCTGAATTTAAGGTTTTTAAAAAATTATTATTACATATATCAACTCATGGAACAAAGTTTGAGTCCAGTGGCACCTTTAAGACAAACAAAGCTTATACCTATAATTAAACTTTGTTGGTCTTAAAGGTGACATTGGACCAGGGGTCATTTCCTGCAGGAGCGCACAGGAACGGAGCTCCGGCAGTAAAGAGCCCAGGGGGTGGGCACATGCAACAAGCCCCACCCCTTGCTCCCAGCAGCTCTCAGTCAGAGTAAGAAGCAGCCAGGTAAGCTGCAGAGTCCCAGACCCCTGGTCCAAAACTGTCAGGCACAAGCTCTCCCTCCTCTGTGAGGACAGATCTGCACGTCCCCCCCCCTCCTCCATAGCTAGCAATGCAAAAGAGTCCAGTGGCACCTTTAAGACCAAGTTTTATTCAGGTACAAGCTCTCCCTCCTCTGTGAGGACAGATCTGCATGTCCCTCCCCCCCCCAATATCTAGCAATCCAAAACAGTCCAGTGGAGCCTGAGTGGTCGGTGTTGCCTTCTGACACACTTCTGGTGATGTCAGGGGTGTGGCATATGCAAATAAGTTAAGCCAATGAGCTCTGCTAATGAGCTCCTGCACCTCTTTTTCTACGAAATGACCCCTGCATTGGACTCAAACTTTGTTCTATTGCTTCAAAGCAACATGGCTACCCACCTCATGAGTACTGTTCATTTAAAATAAATGGCATGAAGGTTGAAAAAAAAAGGATAGCAAAACAAGTAAGATCAAATAATCATTTCAAGCCTACTGGGAAAAGAACCTTGGAGTGTAACAGGTGTGGGTACTAGAAACTTGGGTGTGTTGCTTGTTTTCACAGTTGTAAAAGAAAGGAAGTGGAAGCGGAACTTCTCAGGGCTCTGTGAGAGAGGGCATGGCATAATTATGGGTGGGGTCTCTAGGTGGCTCCTCTCTCACATTTTCCCTGTGTAAAGACCCTCCCCTCTACAACTCACATGTTCAGGTTCTGTTTTGCCTTCTCAATGTCATTCTTTATTTCCGGGGTGATGTTAAATCGGAGCTTCTTGGGCATCGGCAAGGGAACCATGGGAGATCTCACCAGTTCAGGCTTCCTCCTGCCAAAGAAGCAACCACCAGGTGGTTAAAATTATTCCACACCCTCACTGCCTTAGTATCTCTGCCTTCCCTCTGAGGAGCTCCAAGCTGCATCCTGACTTGCTTCATTCTTATTTACTTATTTCCAGGGCTACTTTTGGGCAGGGAACGCACAGGAACGGAGTTCCGGCTGGCTCCCGAGTTGGCCACACCCGGCAGGAACTCATTAGCATAATAGGCCACACCCAACAGCAGAAA